GGTTTTCATAAGGTTTAAACTGTATGGGAGCTGATTGCCAGTCTTTGTCCCATGGATCAACTGGTAGATTTGAACCCAGGTACATTTTGGTTGTGAACATCAATTATTTGGGAAGAGATTTTGACTCCGTATACTAAGTTGCTCAATTCATGAAGACTCACAAGGTTTTCATGTGAGTCATCAATCATCAACTTCTGTCTCTCCATTCTCCTAAGCCATGACTGGGCTTGCCAGTAGAATTGTGCATATAATTTAGAAGCTGGAGTTATATTATAAAGAAAACTTTCAGAGGTTTCATCTTGAATGTGTTCATTTCTATTTGCAGTTTTCTTTTTTATTCTGTTTGGGAGTGACAGAGTGGGTGATGCTATGTGAAACAGCCTTTCATAAGCTAGATGGACCTTGGCACGAGCAGGAAAGGATAATGAGTTTAAAACGCAAAACTCACTGACACTGAGTCAATTCCTACTCCCAGTGGGTTTTCCAAAGCTGTGAATCTTAATGAGAGAAGACTGTCCGTTCTTCTCCTGTGAAGTCAATGGTGAATTCAAATCACTACAGAGATCATTTGGCTGACAAAGCAGCACACAAACTACACCCTAAGAACTCCTTAATAATGAGTTTCACTCACTCTCTCATTACCAGTGAATTGAACAAACTCCTAGCTGACCATCCAGCTTGTTTCCATAGGCTGTAAACTGTATAAGAGACTGCCCATCTTTTCTTCCATGGAGCCACTGGTAGTTTCAAACCATCAGAGAATCAGAGTCTTCAGGAAAGCAGGACAACTCTCTGTGGTATGTGCTAACAGAACTCCAATCTACTAAATGATTCTCTGTATTCCCACTCTTTTTACTCCATTAAGTCACCAACAAAAATAACTTTTAAAAACATATTTCAAATATCCCAACAGTTTTCCTCAGGCCTCTTGTCTAGCAAGACCTCAATCACATTCTTTCTATGACTTGAGCATGCCAGTTAGATTCCTGCCTCAGGGGTTTGCTTGTAATTCTGTCTTGGATATCCTCATAAATTACTTCCATTTACATTCAGAAATTTCAAGTGTTTTCTTTTTTGTGCATTTATTTGTGTATTTTTAGAGCTCCCTCTATAATAGAGAAATTACTCTGATGACTTAGTGATAAGTGTATATTTATTAATATACATTTCTGATTCCCTAACACTAAATTAGAGACCTCTTGTGGCCAAGTGGTAAAGAGCTGCACTGCCAAACTGTAGGTACATGGTTTGAATCTACCAGCCACTCCATGGAAGAAAGATAGGCAATTTCCTCCCATGTAACTTACTGCCTTTGTAAATCTCCTGGAGGGTCAGTTATGAATATGTTCTGCCTTTCTAATACACAATAACAATGTAACAAACTATTATTTGATACTATAGGATGTAACTTACACGCTTATTTATTTTCTCTCTCCCCTCTCCCTAAATACTGGCATTTCATACATACCAGTTCCTGTGTACCTTTGCTTACTTCAAAAACATTTATTCTATATATACCAATAACTCATCTGCCTACAAAAAGCAAACAAACAAGAAAAGGTTTCTCTCTTACCACAACACACATTAGGTTATAATACTATATTAGGGAGCTTTGGTGGCATAGTGGTAATAAGCTGTGCGGCAATCTTAAAGTTATGTGGTTTGAAACCACCAGCTGTCCAGTGGGAGGATGGGCAATCTCCTTTCATGTGATTTACTGCTTTTGAAAACCCACTAGGGAATCACCTATTGGTCGGTTCTGAATCAATGTATATTAAACAACAAAATACAATTT